CCCCCCCCCCCCCTTCTTCTCTTTCCCCTTCTCCTCCTCAGAGAGCTTCCCGTGCTGGCTGCAGTATTCTAGGGCTCATGGAAAGATTACTGTCAAGCTGATGGGACGCCAGGCTTCGGCAGGAGGATGGATTTGGTTTTAAGGTATTTCCGTTGATTGTTGGCTTCTTCGATAAATTATTGCTGATTGAGGCACAGGTCAGCCCCAGAGGCTCAAGGGAATATGCGGACCTGATTGCAGTGCGTGTTCTTTTCCCCTTTGTCTTGGTTCAGAAAATCGTCCCGAACTCCCCGGCTAGCTCAGTGAAGCCAGAGTTTCTTTTCTAGGCATGTCTGTGTGTGTAGGTGGGTGGAAGAGAGGTGCTCCGTTGGCCTCAGCCCCTAAGGAGCCTTCTTTGACTCTTCGTAGTGTTATCATTTCTAGAATATGTTCTGCTTCCAGGACCTTGTCCGAAGGAAGATCCTGAAGCTACGGCCTGGACAGTTAGGTTTTTGTTGGTGTGCTTGTCCAGTGGGGGACTGGAGGGTGGGAGTGAGGGGGCCTCTTGTCTGTTTTGTTGGAGACGGTGGACTCTCTGTGGCTACAATAGCTGGTGAGCCGGGAGAGGGAACTGACTGAGAGCATTGCGTGGCTTCCATCTTATCTGTGATGGGTCTCACTACTGTGTTTACTATTTGGGTGCTAGGCTCACAGGCTTTCCTGGAAACAGTACAGAGGAAGTCCAAATTGGGGAAAGTGACTCCATTGTTTTCTTCTCTCTGTTTTGTGCACCTGAGATGGGATGGGAAATTGGACAATCTCAGTTTGAAGAGCGAGAAAAAGAAAAAAGGGATAGGTAGGTTGGGGACAGGGGCCTCCGACTTTGGTTTCTCCTAAAAACTGTAGAGGAGGGGGCAAGCCCTGGGCTTGGAAAGATCTGAGGAAAGGAAAAGGACCCTGGATCCACTTCTCTCTCCTTGAACAGTAGGACATGGTCCCTGTTCCCCTTGGTCACAGAAGACACTTAGTTGGGAGACTTTAGGCCCGGGACCCCAGGTCCTCAGCTGAAGTATGTAGTGGAAAGCTAGGATAGGCAGGCAGAAGCCGGCTGTGGCAAGGAACCAGAGCCGAGCTGAGATTTATGGCGCTCTGAGGTCCCTGGCAGACATTCTCTACCCCGGGGAAGGATGCTACTGAGAACCTAACCTGTTTGTCCCAAATTCCTAGGTAGTTTCTCCACCTCCGGTTCTAAGCTTGCTTCGGGAACTCATGTAGAAGCCAAGCTTGTCTCTGGTACTCCCTGGGTACAGGGAAGGAATGGTCGGTTAGAACTCTTAGGACTTTGGAACAAAAGCAACTCTTTCCTTTTTCACTCCAACCTCAATTAAAAAAAAAAAGTCCAATCAAGTTTCCCGGCTTAAGTGATATTTCCTTTTCCCCCCTCCCCCCCCCTCCCATCTAGCAAAGGCGGCTCATCCATTGCCGATTTCATAGGTAAACATGTTTTACAGAGGCTATTTTAAGTGGCCTAAAACGCCCCTTGAAAATAAAATGTAAGCTTTAATTGCAGTTCAATTACTTGTCAGCGTTTCCTATGATTTATGACCCAGTTCTGGCGCGTTTTTGACCCAGTTAAGGACTCATAAATAATATAGTTTCACTAGGAAGAAAGTGAGAGCAAGCGGAGGTTTGCAGAGCCGTCCTTTATTATCTGTTTGTGCTGGCGAGTCAAATGGATATCAAGCGAGACTCCGCTTACCGGATCTCCTCTAAGAGAGCATCCGCACTGAACAAAATGTGCTAGAAACAATTTACAGAATTCGCTTCTCCGGAAAGGGGAAGGCGATGCAGCCAAAGCAGATGAAAGGAGTCTCCTTCCCATAGGCACGGCCTCATCACCCCCATCTTAAGAATGACGGGGATGTAGGTTGCATTCCGATTTTGATCGGGTGGGATTTTGCAGCAAAAATTCCTGTCTCTTTCTCCCCCTCAGATCCCGAACACGTCTAAAAGGAAGAGCTCCCTAGCTTATATCGGGAAATCACGCTCCTAGGAGCTTTTCTCCCTTTCAGATAAAACCCCGAATAGAAGATTGGAAGACATCTCAATCTTCTCAGAAGAGTTTGATTTTCCTATCTTCGAAAACCCAGAAATTGTAGATTTCTCAGTCTCAAGGCCGAGAGGAAAGGTTAGAGCCTCGGGGTTCCCTCGTTCTACTTGTTCGTCAGGAAAAAAGGAAGCTGATTGAATTCACAAGGAAGATCGAGAGAAAATGGGAAGAAAACGTACGCGAAAGAAATTTGGCTTTGAGAGATCGCGAGCAGAGCCAGGGACTGCTGGGGTGGAGGGAGAATCTCTGAACCCATAAATCATTTCAAGGCGATTGGTTTTATTTTTGTTGTTGTTTTAAAATAAACAAAAACCAAACCAATTACGCTGTAAAAACCTTAACCAGGGATGAACAAAATGATTGTTAGAAATGAACTATTAATCCTTTCAAAGTAACCATTTCTGTAAGTGACTTGGGGAGGGACATCCGTTCGCATCCCTGGCCGCCTTCTTCCCCAGATACTTGCACACCTAGCCCCCCTTCCCTGCCTATGGCCCACGACTGGCCGGAGCAGAAAAAGCCAACGAAGAAAGCACGTTTGTCTGTTCAGGAACCCTACTCTGCTGGTTCAGAGGTGCGCGCCGGGAAGCTAACATATGCCTCTCATCCCAGCCTTCTATTTGAGATTCTTTCCTTCTTGGGCAGGTCTTTGGCTCCCCAGGTTAGAGGCACGCTAGCCTAGTCTCGAGAGTGGACTTCCTAGGGTCTTTTTATGGCATGCTCAATTCCAAAAGAACGCAAAGTGGGGAGAGATATCTCCCCTCCACTTCGCCTTTGCAGCCGCAGCCCATCTCTGCCCTGTCCCACCTCCAACCCAGGTCGCCCGCTGCTTAGCGTCCCGCTCTTCTTGTCCTAGGTTTCTCGAAGCTTTTCTTTCGTTCCTTCTAGCTAGTTTAGCTGAAAACGGGGAGCCAGTTGCATCAGCAATTTGGAGGAGAAAGTGCGGGGTTGATTATTGACCTACGCCTCCTTTCTTCCAGGGAAACATCCAACCTGGGGGTGGGCTGATGGCTTGAAGAGAAATGCAGGCCAGCGAATTTTTCGGCCCCCTCTCGCCTCGCCTCCTACGCGACCGGGCTTCTCCTTTCATGTTGGGCCGCTGCAATATGCCATAAGGAGCAAGTGTTTTCTGTTTTAGTTCTCTGTTTACAGCTTTGGTGCATGAAGTCATAAATCTTGCCTGGCCATAAATGACAAAAAACCATTGGTATGCATGAGCGGCCGCCCTGGCCTGAGAGCGCTTTCGGATTGCTCCCTTTTCCCTGGCTTTGTTTTTGCTCTAAGGTGATACCTTGGCTCCTTGCAAGTTTAAACATATTATTTATATTTTTTAACGCCTTTCTTTGAGAAGGATGGGGCCGCTGACGCCTCGTAATTACGCAAAAATCTCTATTTCTCCCTTGCTGCCACACAGGACACCCACCAGGCCAACAGAAATTGACCTTCTGTGGTGTGACTATAATCCTCTGCTCAGTTTTAGGCACGTTTGGGAGGGGGGGGGTGAAAGTCCACCCTGAAATGGACATAATACCAGAAGTGAATCCCCACACTCCTTCTCCCAGCTCCCCCCAACCCAGTAAATCTGAAAGAACAGCTTGTAGCTAGCGTTGGGAGTAGTACAATACACACCACCTATGCCATCCAGGGCTTAACCGGCAGCTAGTCTAGATTAGAGAACAGTTTAGACCCAGGGACACACATGCGATAACCTAAGTGAGCCCCATTGCACATCCCAGGCGCTAAGGCCGGATTGGCGTTGAAATGTGAGTTTTCCTGCCTCCCCCATCTCCCAGCTCCCCCTGAAGCTGAAACTTTCTGTCTAAAAATACAGTCGAAACCAGGTGGATGCAATGATTGACCCTAGCTCTATTCTAACCCCAGCTCTATTCTGACCCCTATCAGCTCTCAGTAAAAGCTGGGGAAATGGAGGCCCACATCTCTTTCCCTGGAAGTTGAGGATGGTGAAGGGGGCAAGAACATCTTCGGAAGTTAACCGCTTAGAGTCTCAGGGAAACTTTGGTGCCCCCCACCCTAGTTTCTCTCTCCCCCGCCCCCAATGGTTGCTCACTATCTTAGGTTTCTCAAACAGATTCATAAGAAATAAAGACCCTGGTGAGAGAGCCCCTTTGTGAGAGCTGTTTGTCTTCATTAGCATAATTTTCCTGGACTTTAGTGACGCCTCAGAGCAGGGAGGGGGTGGGGATGAGGAGGTGGGGGGTGGGGGGAGGCCGCCCTCCTTTACTCGTTCACTCCCTCTCTCTTCTCACTCCTCAGCTTCCTCGATCCCCATCCCCCACTCCGGCCCGCGCTTCCCCAGTCGGCTTTGCCTCTCCCCCACCCCCACCCCACCCCCACCCCCCACCCAGACCAGAAGCTGCTGCTCCGCGTGTAATATTCATAAGAAACATACCCACCTCGGTGCCACTACCCTAGGAAAAGCCCCGCGCAGCGATAGCTCTTATCTCAGGGCCCCGGCTGCTGCCCTCAGGAAGGGCAGGGAGGGAGTGCTAGGGGAGGGGGTAGGGTGGGGGGAGGGGGGGTCCGAGCCGCCCCAGCCAGCCCTTGGCGAGTCGTGCAGGAGCTGTGAGTGGAGTGACGCCTCTCCTCGGGTCCTGGGCTCCGGGGTCTTCCTCCCGGCGGCTGATGCCTGGAGCTGGTGCCCATCCCGATCGAGCCGGTGGGGACCTGGGCCGGGGCAGCGGGGCCGCGGGCTGGCGGGCCGGCCCGGAGCACGGGAGGAGGGTGCCTGCCTCCTTCCGCGTCCGTCGTCAGAAGTTAAGGTAAGCTGGGCCACAGGCCGCCGCTGCCGCCGCCGCCGCCGCTATCAGTGCTGAATGGTGGAGTTTGTGTCTCGGTGATTTATGGCCACAGACTTAAATCTCGGTTCATGAAGAGTTCACAAGCTGCAGCTTCCTCGCAGGCAGTGACTGATACCCTTAGACTTCGAGTTCAGGCCGTTTTCCCCAACCCCCGCCCCCCCACCCCCACCTCCCATGCCCACTTTTCTCTTCCCGTAACTTTTCTTTTTCGTGGAGATGGAGGAGTGGGGAACTTGTAGGGGCTTTTCTCACCTGGCTTCCCCCTTCTGATTTGGGGTGAGAACTTGAGGGGGCAGTAGGAGAGCAAGGGGGTGGGGGAGAAAGGAGTCTGAATTTGGCCATATCTAAAAGGAAGACAATAGGGGCTGTTCCAGGCAGCCCATGTAGCCTCTGACTCGTTTTCTGCTCAGCTGCACCTGGTTATGGCCCAGAAATAGATTTTGGTTTTTTTTGCCCTGGAATCATTGCTCAAGCCTTTGTCTTTGGGGTGGAGGGGGAACCTCTTGCCAGGCTGACCTCCAACTTCTTCATTAAGAAACAAACTTGGGGGGAGGTTGTTTGGGCCCTGAGGGTTGTCTGGGGTCCTCAGACAATAGGGATAACTTTGGGGTTGGACCTAGAAAGTGACTCCACATCTTTGGGGCTGGGTTGTTGTTTTCCTTTTCATTTTAACCAAGCAGTACACAACTTTGTGAAAGCCTTGAAGTTAAGCAGGAACCCGTTCTGGCTTGGGATAATGGATTAGCAAGTCACTTGAAGTATTGCACTTTCAAAATCAACTTAATTTTGTTTTATCTAATATCTTGCTGTTCAAGTGTCTGGAGTGATTTTCTTAACCTGACATTGTATTTAACACAAGCCTGGTATCTAAAATATTTACAATGTTAGACATTAACACTGTCAAATGGAATAGGAACCCTTTTCAGTAGGAGAACAGGAAATTGTGATATTAAATTCACCACTGGCTTCTACACTATTATTTAAGATTTGATTTTCTTCCAGTTGTACTATCTGGCTCTTCTCATCTATTTCCAAGGGCTAAACAATACTGCAGAGCCTAGGGCTCACACACAATCACTTTGGGTAAGGGATGCTGTAATTTTTAATTGAGGTGCTGGAAAATTAATTGTGCCTGCTTTCCAGATGTTGATCAGATTGTTGGTTTAATAATAAAATCCAAAGGAGCAGATTATTAAAAACGAAATCAGAATCACCCACTGATAGATGTACATTTTTTTTAAGCTAACAAAGTGCCTGCTATTCCCTTGTAGTCTTGAACAACTTGGAATGCAAATATATAGAGTTAGGACTGAAAATGGCCATTTCCCCCTCCACAAGTAGGTCATTATTACTTTCTTAAGTGCCCAGAGGAAATAGCATTAATGTTGTGTGTGTGTTCACACATGGATGGAACTTTTTTGAGTAATAAGACATTGGATTTGGGTAATAAGAGATTGGATTTGTTAAGGCTGGAAATCCAAAGAAACTCTCTGCATCTCAGTTCCCAGAGCACTCTCTCCACTCCAAATCTCAGTTAACTCTTGTGTCCCATGTTTAATTGGTTATTGGAAGGCAGGTAAAGTAATGGAGTTAGCAAACATCTTTGAAAACAACAAAAACGACTGAGGACCTGAAGGAGTGATTTCTGGTTTGTCTTTCCATCCCATCTTCCTGAGCCAAATGACCCCCATACATCAAATTGCATAGCAGTTTGCAAGACAGAGCCTATTATCGTTAAGTTGGAAGGAAAGTTCAATCGGTGGTCATGGAGATGAACGCTGGTTTTTCAGGTTCCTGGTGGGTTCTTCCCCCTCTAATCCATCATGTTTTAACAGGTAGAATTTGGTAGGTGCCATGAAAAAGCCAGCACCTCAGACATTCCTGGGAGGCAGGGATGGGGTGCCTTTTGCTTTGGAAGACAGCTCTGAAGGTGGTTGCTGAGTCCAGGGGATCTGGGAACAGGGATCGTGGAAGAAAAAAGAGGAGAAAAGATCAACCCCCTAGTTTGAATAGTGACTTAATGGGGATGGAAGAGGAGGGATTTTTGTTGTTTCCCCCTATATTTCCTCCAATTTCTCTGAATGAGGGTGAATCCGGAGCCCCACGGGGTTAGTTTAGATGGAAAAGGTGGTAAATAGCCCAGAATATGTGATCTTTGAAATTGAACTGGGCCTGCAAGGGTTGGTTTCCTCGAATCCCAAAGAGACCAGCATAACTTTCGGGGGCTTGTGTGCGTGTGTGTGCGCGCGTGTGTGGGGTTTCTCTGTGTGTCTGCGAATGTGCAGGAGGATATGTAGTAGACTACAGGAGGGGAAGAAATGGTGCTGATCTCTTTGGGAATTAGAAGCCTTGTCCCTAGAACTGGCTATCCAATAGCTCCCCTCTGCCCTTAGCACCTCCCCAAAGGGCGAGGGTGACAACGACCCCACCAGAAGAGGTGAGAAAGGAAGGGGCCAAGACTGCGGTTCTCTGGATCCTCCGTCTCTGGCAAAGGAAGATCTCAATTGTCCCATTTCCTTCCTGCCTGGGGGATGTAATCAAGAGAGAAAGGGAGCACAAAGCCCGTGCCCACCCCAACCCCCAGGCCCCCTCTGCTTGGAAAGCCCCCCAACTTCAGGCCCAAGTTAACCAAATATTGGAAGCTGCCAGTAAATTCCAGCGGCTTTTTATAGCTCGCCTCCCAGCGCCCCGGGCCAAGTCATGCTGCTAAATATTGCTGACCACTTTTTCTTCTATGGCTTTCATGTCACTTAGCTATTGAAAGTAAGATGGATTTGTACTGAGCCCTCACCGCGCTGCGCTTCTCATCTCTCCCCCCACCCCCAGGTCTGTCGGGGGCGGCCATTGGCAGAGAAACGTCACGTGACGGAGGGGGTTGCCAATGTTCGGCTTCAAGGGTGTCAAGACCCTGTCAGTGTGTGAAATAAATACTGGGATACAACGAAATGCAAAAAGCGACCTACTACGACAGTGCGGCGATCTATGGCGGCTACCCCTACCAAGGAGCAAACGGTTTCACTTATAATGCGAATCATCAGCAATATCCTCCGCCTTCGGCGCTGGTGGAAAGCGAATACCATCGGCCGGCCTGCTCCCTGCAGTCCCCTGGCACCGCTGTGGCCCGCCACAAGGCCAATGACATCCACGAGAGTTGCCTGAGAACCATCGGGGTCCAGGGTGGCCAGGCTCAGGGCCTTCCCGAATCGCAGCAGCCCCCGCAGCAGCCCCAGCAGCAGCAGCAGGCTCCACCACCCCCGTCCCAACAGCCCCAGCAGCCGTCTCAGCCCCCTGTTCCTTCAACTCCATCATCCTCACAGCCCCCTCCCTCTGTCTCACCACCTCAAAATGCCAGCAGCAACCCAGCCCCCACCAAGAGTCCCATGCTCAATTCTCCTACCATGTCCAAACAAATCTTTCCCTGGATGAAAGAGTCTCGTCAAAACACAAAGCAGAAAAACAGCAGCTCCAGTTCAGGTAACCACGGTTGGCACGGCAAGCGATGGTACTCACCTGCCTCCCTTTCCCCCAAGTTCCCCTTGTTCAGACCGCTTCCTCCTTCCCTCCCTCCACTCCTCCCTGATCCAGAACCAATCTAGTTGAGACAGGACCACAGGGCTGCATAAACACCCCCATGCTTTGGTGTTCTTTGGGGTTTTTTCCATAAACTTTTCAGATTTCTTTTCCCAAGAGAGTGGTTCTCTGAGTGTAGCAAAGGAAACTGAGCCTAGGGTACCATCTTTCCCTTTTCCTAGAATCTTGGTGATGGTCAGTATGGCCCTTCCAAGAGGTCAAGAGTAAGAATCTGGCTCCATCCCTTGTCTTTCAGTTAGAGTTTTGATGTATGTGGAGGCCTGAGGCCTGGGCCCTTAGCCAGAAGACCATCCTGAGTCATACTCTTTTTCTTTCTCCCCTCCCCCCTTTTTTGGCACAGATTGAATATAATAAGACAGTGATCCCAGGCTGAAGTGTAACTCCAATAAAATGATTCATGATCACCTGCAGTCAGAATCAATGCTGTGCTTATAATCAGATGCTATTTTTGTTCTAGCAGGTTGAGGCCTTGGATTATCGCGTTCTAGTAAACCTATGCTCTGTGTTAGCACAATAAAGTCAGGCCTTGGGAGAAAAAAAGAAGGCAGAGGGGTGGGGAATTGTGGCATTTGTCATCTTAATGTGAACCACATGGGCCTGAGTGATACAAACCCCAGTGGATGAAAGAGCCCTAGCTGTAGCTTTGAGGCATCTTGTTTACATCTGCCCCCTTTCCAGCTGATGTTGCTTGAAGTAGTTCTAAACCTGGAGAAAACCATGTTTGACTGGGCCTGCCTTGGGGGAGCCCAGGAAGAACAGGAATGGAAGTAAAATCTTGGGAAAGTCTGGAATGAGTTCCCCATGCCACACGCCTCCTAGCTAAAGTCATCAACCCCACCCCCCACTCATTTTCTAGGTATATGATACCCATTCAAGGAAAGGGCAAGTTATACTCTCTGATGGCTCTCATCCAGTATTCAGGACGCTTCAGGGCCTTTCTTTCAAGCATGTCTGCTTAGATGTCTTCACCCTCACTATACATGCCTGGAGAATTGGAGATCTAAAGCAACTGGAGAGAGAATTAAAGCAGACTACCCTCTTACTGTGGGGGGGGGAGGCTTTTTTTGGGGGGGGCTTCCTTTTTATCTCGAAGGATGAAGATGAATTTTACACTACACTGAATTTCACCCTAAGTTTTGTTTCAGTGGTCTGTTTCACATTTTCCTTTCACTCTTTAAAACAACTATGTCTTCCTAAAATACCTGAGAGAAAGGACTTTGTCACCTCGTTTGGAGGGGGGTGTCCTTTCAGTTTAGACTGCCAGAGACCTCCCAGGGCATGGAGGGGGAACAGAAGGGGGAAGGGGTGGAGAGGAGCAGGCCATGAAGGACAGCACCTCTCTGGGCCAGCTGTCCTAATCACCTCCCAATGGTCCCGGGGTATTCCCATGTTCATTGGCTCAGGCTGCAGGGGCTCTCTGACTGTGCAGTACTCATCCTCTTCTTTGTGTGTGATTTGTGTAGGTGAGAGTTGCGCTGGCGATAAAAGCCCCCCGGGGCAGGCGTCATCCAAGAGGGCTCGAACAGCTTACACAAGTGCCCAGCTGGTGGAGCTGGAGAAGGAATTTCACTTCAATCGGTATCTGTGTAGGCCCAGGAGGGTCGAGATGGCCAACTTGCTCAACCTTACGGAGAGACAGATCAAAATCTGGTTTCAGAACCGCAGGATGAAATATAAAAAGGATCAGAAGGGCAAGGGCATGATGACGTCCTCTGGAGGGCAGTCCCCCAGCCGCAGCCCGGTTCCTCCTGGGGCTGGGGGGTACCTAAACTCTATGCATTCTCTGGTCAACAGTGTTCCCTACGAGCCCCAGTCGCCCCCGTCCTTTAGCAAGCCTCATCAGAACACCTATGGCCTCCCCAACTCCTACTCAGCTGCCCTTAACAGCTGCCCACCTCCTCAGAAGCGGTACTCGGGGACTGCCTCGGTCACTCCAGATTATGACCCTCACTCCCTCCAAGGCAACGGTAGTTATGGGACCCCACACTTACAGGGAAGCCCCGTCTTCGTTGGGGGCAACTATGTGGATCCCATGAGTAATTCCGGGTCTTCCATCTTTGGTCTGACTCATCTCCCCCATCCCGTCTCAGCCAACATGGACTATGGGGGGGCTGGGACCATAGCCAACAACCATCATCACGGACCTTGTGAGCCCCACCCCACCTACACAGACCTTACAGCTCACCATCCTTCTCAGGGAAGAATTCAGGAGGCGCCCAAACTGACCCATCTGTGATGGACCTTGGGGTTGAGTGAACACAAAGTCAACCCACTTCTCTCTTTTTAGTTCTGTTGGGTTTTTTTTTTTTTTGCTTTCTTTTTTTTTAATGGTCCTTCTTTCCCAGTCTCTATTTCTCTTTCTCTCTCCCCTCCCCCATCCTCTCTTTTGTTTTCTTGGGTAAAGCCTTTTTATAGTTTATATGACGTAGCAATATTCGTTGCTTGAATGGCTCTAGAGTTTCCATGGTGATATTTATCTGCCCCCAGCTCGAGTCCTCTGGCTCTCCTTGGCTGGGGTGGTGGGGTGAGAGGAGGGGCCTTCCTTCCTTCACCTTCTTTACTCTTTTATCAGAAACAGGGTATATGAACAAATTTTCTAGCCGGGTTCTTCAATGTGAATTTGTTCGTACATTACAGCTCCCGAGGGGAAGCGATTAAGTTGTGTTTTATTATTATTATTATTTTTAGTTGTTTTTTATTGCACTTCTTTAAAAAAAGCGAGAAAAGATATCAAAGGGCGCTTTGAAACAGGGTCTCCCTGGACAATAATGAATCTGTGTCCGTCTCTCGATGTGTGTATGCTGGTGAACAGTCAGATTTATTTATATTTTTTTGCAAACATTGAGTAATCTAAGTGTTTAAATATTATTTATCCCCATCCATTCATATTTATATTAAAAAAATCTCCCCCGCCCCCCAGATCTATACCCTGATTGTTCAGGAGCACTCCTCTGACCTTTGGTTCAGTAGCAGATTGGCGTCCTACGACAGTTTGGTTCGAAAGGGAAAGAGAATTCCTTTACCAAGATGGTAACGATTGTAACAAAACCAGAGAGAAGCCACCTTTTTGCTTTTTTTTTTTTTTTCCTAACAGTAGTTTATGCTTGTAACATCAGGCTAAACGGAACAACTCCCCCTCCCCCTCCAACAATCTGTAAACGTGAAAAAAAAAATCTAAGATTTGTTTCTAGAGGTCTACATTCCTTGCTGCTCACGTTCTGAAAAAAGCAAAAACAAAAGAACAAAAAATAAAGTTTTTATTCTGACTAATTCGGTTTTCGGAACGTGTTCTTTGGCCGATATTGAGGGCAGCTCACGCCCTGGACAAGGGAGGCTGGGCACAGGTAGCCAAAGGCATCCCCCCTACTCCCACCTCTTCCCCAACCCCCGAATACCCCCGCCCCAGTCCCCCACGGAGCCAGCCTTGGCCTAGGGCTTGCCTTGGGGTGCTGTTAGAAATATATGTGTGTGGGGGGGAGCGCCCTTGGTGCGGGCTCCGGGTCCGACACACGGTAGCTGGGCTGGCTTGGGGCTGCTTCTCCGAGCTGCCAGGCCCCGAGCGGGAGCCAGAGTGACCCTGGAGCTCGCAAGCCAGGAACAAAGCGCCGCGATCACAGGTGCTGGTGCTGGTGCTGGGCCTGAGAAGCTGCGGGAGTCGAGGGGGGGGCAATGGGGGCGGGGATGCAGATTCACCACCCCTTGCTTGAAGAGGAAGGAAGGCGATCGCCATCTTCTCTTGAGAGCCTTTCTCTTTCCCTTTCTCCCTCGGTGTATCTCTCCCCTTCTCCTGCCTCAACGTCTCTCTCCTCCAAGGCAGCTCAAAGGAGAAAGACGTTCCTCTCTTTGGCACTGGGGACCTCTCTACTCCCACACTTTCCCTCCCAGGGTCAGAAGAAAGAAGCTAAAGGCTGTTACATTGTGCGGGGGTTGCTTTAAATACAGGCCAGCGGAGCTAGGCATCCAAATAAGAGGCGGCGGGACGCCGTTTCCAAGGGGCAAATTCGAAATACAGTCAGTCTTTTATGGCTTCCCATGTCGTTAATCACTCCTGGAAGAGACAGTCCATCATAAATCGCCTCTGAGGTTTGAGGCAGTTTTTCGGTAACTACGGTAGTTCATGCTCACAAAGGGGGCTGAACGTGAAGGGAGAGTAGGCAGTAGCCGATCGCCAAGCCTTCTCCTTCCGTGGGCTGGTGGACAGTCAGTGGCAGCTTTCACGCATGGACCTTCTTCCCAGGATTTGGTATATTTTCCCCCATTTTCTGAATCTGGTCTCCTCCTTCGTCCTCCTTGTATTTTTTTTTCGGAGAGAGACAGATACAGACAGACACACACACACACACAGACACGGACAGAGACACAGACAGACAGAGACAATAAGAAAGATTCAGAAACAGAGACAGAATCAGACAGTTAAAGAGCAGAAACAGAAAAAGTGGTTTGTCCTCTTTCTAATAAAATGCAATGTTTCCAAGTGTTCTCTCTCTCTCTCTCTCTCTCTCTCTCTCTCTCTCTCTCTCTCTCTCTC